TGAATTGGGCTCCATCTGGGGATCCAAACATGGAGAAGGATTTATGGCCCAAGATCAGACCCAACAAAGCCACTTCTATCTTACTGCTCAGGGCAGGGTGACACCAGCAGATTTGTTAATTGGGAAGACAGCCCAGGGGGCAAGAAAGGCCAAAATTTTACCTTAAAAGGTAAAAAGTAAACTGCTAGAATGGAATGTGTAAACAGGGGTGGGAAACTTACAGGATAATTTGAAGTGTGGGATGGGCTGTGATCCCTGGAGTGCCCAGCCAGTGGGGAACCAGGGGAGGGAACTTTGCGTTGGGAATAGGGAATATAAACCGTTATTCACCTTACTGTGGGTGTGCCTGCTTGTTTAGGTCACCCATTCTTGCAAGAATGTAAATAAACTGTGCTTCTGTGTGGGCCTGTTAATTGTCACGACAAATGTTTCTCACACAATCCATGCACGGAGCTGAGATACTCGCTTTCATAGCCAGTTGTGGGCAGGAAAGGGAGCAGGGCGGTATTCCACAAAGCAAGCTCAGGTTCCCAAAATGCAAGTGTTACTTTTATACCCAAAAATGTGAGAAAGAACTTTTAACTTTATTCTTTCTATCACTCGCACACGCGATTGGCCAACTGTTTCCTTGCTTCCCTTTAAACTGGCAACGCTCAAGAACTTCACCACGCGTGGTCAGAGCGGGGAGCTTGTTGTTAGTGGGGGTCCCTCTAGCCCACGAGTGGGTATTTTAGTATGCGAATGTCTCATGAATATGTTAATTCGGTCATTTCAATTACTCAGCGTTTTCTCACCCAGTGCTCAAGGCTGTAACTGCGGTATCTAGTGGGGAGTGCTCCTGTCCATCCCTTTGTCTGTCTCAAGGCTGGGCTGTGGACTACTTGGAACATGTTCTTCTTGTATTAGGGAATTTAAGACTCCAAGCCAATCGGAGTTATGAAACAGAAATTTATTAATTACAGCAAGCAAAAATAGCAAGGTAACAGCGCTGGGTGCCAGGGAGTAATCTCTCCTCCTCTGGACACTTTTCCTCTTTCAGGTGTCTTCTTTAATAGTCTTTCGTGGTGTACTCTGCGCCTGTGTAATCTCAAGTTTTACATATCAAAGTTCAGAAGCATGCAGTTCTTAGGCCTGTTCCTGAGACAAAAGTTCATTAGCACATCCGGTTGAATAAACAACTTCGGTCTCCTGGAAGGTGTTATTAACTTAACACATATTGTTCTAGTTGCCCAGCACAAAAGCTCATGTCTAGCTAGATACACAGTACACAATACAATGGCTAGGTGAACAAACTTTACACATAACATTCTCTAATTGGAATCCGTTTTTTTTTGTCTAATTCTTACTGTTTCGCCGTTATTTAGGCCCGGTTTTTATTCTGCATGTCCCTTACGTTCTCTTTTATGTGATTTTCCCCCAAATGTCATATTTTTTCCCCGATTTTTACTTATTTCAATTAATAACTGACATAAACTCCTCCCTGCAAGACTTAAATACATATATATAGATATATATAAGCTTTTAGTCATTTAAGTTTCGCTCACGTTTTCCCTCTTGGACGTGTTTTCCCAGCAGTATTTTAGCAGGCGGTGTTTATCCAGAGGTTGGTCCGGGGGATGCTGGAAGGAAGAGGGGACACCAAACACAGGCACCTCTTTTTTTTCCACTCTGAGCACCAAGTCAAACAGGTAATAGAAAAAACGACGGCGAACCGAACACCTCGTACGAACTGAACCTCGTACGAACACGCTGACCGCACGCGCTCCTTGGAGGCCAGGACAAGATTCCCGCGGGACGCGCCCCCCGGGGCGGGGCGGCGTCACGTGGGAGGCGGCGTCACGTGGGAGGCGGCGGCGCCCCCTCCCCTCACCCCCC